AAAGTAAAAAAATTAAGAATTATTTTTTCAAAACATTAGTCGAAATATACCAAAATATCTTGAATACCTTGAAACATTATGAAATAATTGTGCAAATACATTAAAATATAACTGAATATTTCAAAACATTATGGAACACCTCGAATTCGTTTCGATCTCCTTTGAAACGGAAACGTTTCGGATGTTTTGACCGTCTCAAAATGACATTTTGATCCTTGTATGAGATGACCGAGGAACTGCATTGTAATTAGTGGAACCAATTAGCTTTGATTTATTGGTATTCTGGTGTACCAGAAGAAACATTCTATTCAAAATCTTGCTGAAGAAGGTGGATCACGATTTAGATACTGTGAGCAATTAAAGGGATTCGGGTTTGGGAAACTATCACAAAAATGCTTATTTACTTATCTTAATTGTTTTTGGTACATTCTATGTGTGAAGACATTTTACTTAGGCATTTTGTTCCGAGTCGTCCATAAATTAATAAAGTCATCATAGGAAGATTGAGTAATAAATTGGCATGTCAGCTAATGCTAAGGATGCAGCTATCAAAGAGTGCTTATATTTGAAAGTCATGGGTGAAGTTGGATAAGGGGTTCAATAATTTATTTTTACGAGAAAACTTTTTTATTAATTATATATAATATTACATTAGTGAAGGCGGACAAGTAGTTCAACCAAAATCATTAAATGGAAAGCTAGAAAATGCAGAAGAATCAAAGCTAAAAATCACCCCGCCAAGATACAAAAGAGTGGAGTTGCTTAAAATTCTTTAGTGATGGAGGTCCATAAAGATGTTAGAAAGTTACTTTGTTCCCATAGCCCTTCCATCATCTCACATATATTGCCAAATATTGTCGCATTTCTTTCCGACGAAATAACCCACATAATAGCAAAGCATCCACAAGTTCATAGCGTGTGTTGTTTTTTGTCCTTATAAAACCACTAAAGACCTCAACGAACATTGAGGAAAGGACCTAGAAGCCATCCAGAACATCTTATTCCCAAAGATAGAGCAACGGTCAATGTCAAATTAAAAAATGATCCACATATTCACTAGCCTCACAACACATAGCTGATCACTATGTTGAGAGGCAGGTTTGAGGGTTCCTCCTTTGAAGCTGGTCATTAGTGATAGAATTGATCACAAGGATAAGAAAAGAGAGAGTAGAGAAGAGAAAGAGAAAAATATTATTAGGCTAAACTAGATTGTTATTCTCATTAACCTAAAAGTACACAAAGTAAGCCTTATATAGTAGAACAACACAATATAAAGTAAATGCTTAAATTACCCTTAGTATTAATACTCTGACACCCCTTCTCAAACTCATGATGTGACCAAAAACATCAAGGGTTTTCTAAGAAGAAATTGAAAATGTGCTATGGTGTGAGATTTCGTAAAAAAATTTGTTATCTGCACGGTGGATGGAAGAAAAGGGAGAGTGATGGTGTCTTGTTGAAGATAATGGCGCACAAAGTGATAATCAATCTCAATGTACTTTGTGCGCTCATAGAAGATTGAGTTGTGAGCAATCTGAATATCACTGGTATTGTCGTATAACACAGGAGTAGGAGAAGATATCAAAATGCCAAGATTAGCAAGGAGCCATCGTATCCAGACTATCTTAGTTGTGGTAGATGCCATAGCATGATACTCAGTTGCAGCAGAAGAACAAGCAACAACAGTTTGTTTCTTACATTTCTATAAAATAAGAGAATTCACGAGAAAAAGGCAAAAACCATTCCATAGATTCAGCAGTTCAGTTAGCATCAAAGTAAGCCCGAAGTTTCATAAGCGAGGAGTGAGAAAATAGTAAACTTTGATATAGAGTATCATGAATATATTGAACAATACGAAGAATAGCAACCTAGTGAGCAACAGTAGGGTGAGGCGACAAACTGACTTACAATATGAACAATATAAGAGATATTCGGACGAATGACTGTAAGATATACTAAACTCCAACAATAGTGCGATAGAGGGTAGGGTCATATAGGAGAGAATCATCAGAAGAAGAGTAATGAACATTGAGTTATAACGGTGTTTTAACTGTTCGATTATCTGATAAAAGGGCTTGTTGAATATCATTCGAGACATATTTGGACTGAGAGAGAAGATAGCCTTTAGGAGAGGAAACAATCTCAATGCCCAAGAAATACCTAAGCTATCCTAAATTTTTCTATCTCAAAATGGTCCTACAAATAAGTTTTCAATAAACATGTACCAACAATGTCATCATCCGTAATAAACATCTCATCAATATATAGTAAAAGAATAATAAAATTTGTGGAAGTAGACTATAAAAAGAGAGCAGAATTATGGTCACTGGCACGAAAACACAAGTTACAGATAACTGAAGAAAATTTGACAATTTAAGGCTATATAAAGGTCGGTGAAGTCAATATACTTGACCAGGACTATGAGACAATCCAAGAAGATGAGTCATAAAAACCTCTTCACTTAAATCTCCATGAAGGACATTTTTTACATTCATCTAAGATGAACGTCATTGGCGAATGACAGCAACTACAATCAAGGTGTAAACAGTGGTCATCTTCGCAATAGGGGCAAAAGTCTCATCGTAGTCTGGACCATACTTGTGAGCAAAATTCTTAGCTACTAATCGAGCTTTATACCATTCCACAGAACCATCAAACTTGATTTTTATAATATAAACCCACTTAAAATCAATGGTACGTTTACCAGGTGGTAAAGGCACTAGCACCCAACCTCTGGTCTTATATAAGGTAGACAACTCCTTATCCATAGCTTATTTTCAAACTGGATCAAGTAAAGCTTCCTTGTAGGAGGTGGGTTTAGATGGGGAGTGAATAGAAGTAAAGAAAGAAAAAAAAGTCTTGAGAATATCAAGTGTTACTTCAACCAAATCTGTTTAGACATTTGCGAGATCATTGAGGATAGTGTGAGATATGATTTATAGTGCCTGAACCTGATTGGGTGGCAGAAGGCGAAAGGGGAGGCACCGTATTCATATAGGAGAGAGCTGGAGTCTTGCGAAGATATGTATACTTAGTAGGGAGATGAGGAACAGTTAACTTAGAAGGGTAAGGATCTGACATAGTTAAATCACTATCATATATGCCATGAGGAACATTAGCAAGAAAAGGATGTGAGACTTATTCAGTAGGAAAAAACTAGATGAAATTGAAAAGAAGGGAATATGCTCCATAAAGATAACATGGCGAGAGACATAAAGTTTGTGGGTAATAGGATCATAGTAATGATTATCTTTTTGACTCTCACCATAATCAAGAAAGACACATAAAGCTGACCGAGCAGAAAGTTTGGTACTAAGAACCCTATAGAGCAAAACACATCAAGTACACCCTAACACACGTAAAAAAAATTAGTTTGGTGGCTTACCACAATTTTTCAAATGGGGAGACTCCAGAGGTGAGAATAGTAGGAATACAATTGATCAAATGAACTACTGTAAGAATTTCTTCACCCCAAATGAGCTGGAAACATGTGCCGATAGTAGAAGGGAGCATGCTGTCTCTAGAATATGACGGTGTTTACGTTCAGTAATACCATTCTACTTAGGTGTGTTAGTGCAAGAGTATTGATAAAGTGTACCATCAGAGTTCAACATATCACGAAAAGAAGTAAGATTGTACTCACCTCCTTGATCACATCAAAAACATTTAATAATCGCGGAATATTGAGTGCGGACCATGTTACCGCATACAGTGAAAATCGAAAAGAATTCAAACCAACATTTCATCAAGTATACCCAACAGTACCTCGTAAATCATCAATAAAGAAAATATAATATCTGGACCCTCTTTGTGTAAGAACAGAAGTTGGTCTACATATATCAGAATAAACAAGATCAAATGGTGCAAGTAACACTTTTATTGAAAGGTAATGCACTAGCCAACTTGTATTTACTACAATCAGGAATGTCATGACTTTCTAAACTACCCAAACTATAAGGAGAAGTTAAAAATATTAAACGAGAATGAGAAACACGACCCAGGCAAGAATGCTATAAATAAAAATTAGATGCCTTTGGACTCAAACGAAAAGAAGATAAATTAATAGTAGAAATAGAAACATGGGCTTGACATATATCCATTTATGGAAAATCATGTGCTAGTCCTTTGAGTCACTTAGGTGAGGGTTATAGTTACCCCGGCTCAACATATTGTCTTCTTTTTGTTAAGATAATTGGACATGCATATTTTGAATTATTTAAGTGCAGTTCTATGTCAAAAAATGAAGGAATTTGAGTTTAATCATTCCTTATCTCTCTTTCTCTTTATCAGGTCCATTGCTTGCAGTTCCTGATATATGAGGTGGTATCAGGTGGTAATATGAGGAAGCCAGGGGGACTATTTGGAAATTGTGGCTCTGAGATTCCTGTTAATGATTTAAAGCAATTGGAGACCTTCTTCTACAAGCTTAGCTTTTTCCTGCACATACTAGACTACACAGGTTCTTGAAAATTGTCATTTATTTGGCTAAATGCAATTCAGAAGATATGATATACTTCTATGACATTTGATATTTGAGAGATTGGTCTTTGTTGACAATATGAGCTTCAATTTTATGTTCAATTAGATATGTATGACTTTCCATGAAGAATTATAATCCTTATTATTCGTTAAGATTTGAAGAATGGCATATACACATTAGAGCAGAAAAGGCATTTCCTTAAATGCGATAATCATAGCTGTAGGTGGTGTACAGCTTTGTATCAAAAGAGAAGGTCAAAATTTGCAAAGTATCAAAAAATTATAAGTGTCTTTGGAATGAAGACACGATGATCGCGTTATAGAGAGCCTAGTTAAAACTCTTCTAAGATTCACTATTCACAGAAAAAAATAGTACAATATTGCAGAAAGTCATTTTGAAATACTGAAAGGTAGTCTTGAAAAATAAATACTTGGGAATATTTTAGCATTTGGTTTCTAAGGGATTGTATGCTGGAGGGGAATTCTCGCAATTGGTGACATCCACCCTGGTGATGGGGATGTAGCACGGGAACACCCCGATCCTGTGACTCTGCTTTGAGTCAGTCTGGCAGATATCTCAAGGCTCCACTGATTGATTATGCTCGTCTTATCATTGTCCTTGATATGTGCATATAATGTATTTATAAAGAAATGCAGTAGGTTTCCTTGGCAACTTGCAATAACCATTTCCATAAAATGCTGACATTTGCTAAAACTGTGGTGTTACTTTGTTACAGCAACTGTTGGAACTTTGACAGATCTTGGTTTCTTATGGTTTAGAGAATTTTATTTGGAATCTTCTCGTGTCATTCAGGTAAAGATGATTGAAGGAGTGATATTTTTCTATAGTAATTTTGTTCAACTCCTATGCAGATATATAACTATCCATGCTTACTTAGTAAATGGAAAAATATGTTTGATGATTTTAGAAATCTAGCTACTAGAGGATGTTTTGGAAATACTTCTTGGATAATTACTGTGGTGCAGAAATATATCAATTTATTATAAATAAGAGGTGAATGGCAAACCTAGCACATACACAGATTATTCTCATCTTCTCGCATTCTGTTTCTCTCTCTTTATCTTATTCTCTCTTGTCCCTAACATAATATTGTAGTTTTTACTGCTTACCTGTAAACATTCTGCATTTAGAAGCTATGTTGATCCCTATAAATTATAGACTTTTTCCTTAGTTCTCATTAATATACATCCACCGAATGCACTTCCAACTGGTAAGAATGGATTCACTTAACATAAATTGGTTCTCCATCACACCTTCCTAGTTCTTTCTTGGATGCTACAGCATCTTGTCAATTAGATGAGGTTAAACTAAATTATTCTAGTTTCATTTTGCTGAGCGGTTCTCTAAATAAATGTAGTCATGCTACCATCAACAGATTTTTGATGAACCTTTTAGCTTTATTTAGCTAATGGTGATGCTGATCTTGTTATAATCCCCCATATATAAACATTCTATACCTGAAACCATTTATAGTTCCTTCCCTTTACAATGGGATGTTTTTGTGTGTATGTATCATCGATGTCCATCAATGAGATAAGGTTTATTGCTATGTCTTATTTGATCTAGCAAGGAGTAATTAGTTTCGGTATTGGAAAGCGAGGCTTCATTCTCTTTTTTTGATTCTGGTCGATTATTAGTTTATTAAAGGGGCACTTGAATGGGGATAAAACTACTGCAAGTGAATCTAATCAATATCCTTAGCTTAGTTGGCTATCTGTTTTGGGGACAGATGCCTATAGGTTTGAACCTCAAACCCCATCTGATAGTGGCCATTCACACACCATTGTTGTCGTAAGTTGCGATCTCTGATCAATCTAGAAAACTATACACACACACACACACATACATACATACATACATATATAGGTGTGGGTCTGTGCAAGTGTATAAACATCAAGGATCAAAATGTCGTGTCGACACGTCCGAAATGTTTCGGAATTTCAACACTCCGAAACGAAACAGTAGTTGAATCACAAAATTTCAGTGTTTCGGTCGAAACGACACTGTTTTGGACCGTTTCGATCGAAACAATACCATTTCGATGAAATAGTGATATATTCGGTTCATTATAAATAATTACATTTAATACCCCACTATAATTATATTTAATATCCACTGTCATTACATTTAATACTCACTATAATTATATTTAATACCCTACTATAATTACATTTAATTCCCACTGCTCTTCTGCCTTTTATAATTTTTGTTATAAAAAAAATAATTACACTTAATACCCTACTGTAATTATATTTAATACCCATCGTAATTATATTTAATATCTACTGTAATTATATTTAATACTCCACTGCTGTGCAAGTCTTTTGCTTTTTTTTTTTGTTATAAGTGATGAGCACAAATTTAACTGGGCTAGGCCCAATGAAAACAATCCAAGAAAGGTCGAAGGAAAGTCCAACTCTAAACTAGATCGACCCATTGGAAAAGAAGACATCAAGAAGTCAACAACCAAAGCCCCAAGGCCAACGCCCAAGAGACTTAGCAATTGGGCGTCGCCCATGGCAGCCTTGGGCGCCTCCTAGGTTGGCCCCTTGGGCGCCGCCCATTGCAGCCCCTTGGGTGTCGCCTAGGCTGGCCCCTTGGGCGCCTCCCTCTTCGCTCCTCTTCACTTTGGAACTCCAGGTCCAAGCCAAGACAGGTCCAGGTCCAAGTCCAAGTCCAGGTCAAGCTCAATCCAACTAACGTTCTCCTCCGGATGAATAGGAGCACGAGGGAAGATAATATGGAGATTGACATAGAAGATCTTCTACCATAACAATACTCGCCAAAGCTATGAAATTCTTTTCCCTCACGTCACCGCCTCCACTACCTTACCCTAGCTATATAATGTAAGCCCTCTCAACATTGAGGACACGCCTCCAACGCCTCTGAACCTTACACTCATTGTTTTCTCTCTGTCTCCCCAAAAGTACTATGACTCTTCGGAGTACCATCACTCATCAATAAAGAACACCGGCCACCGCTGCCATTCCCGAAAGTGGAGTAGGTCATCCGAGACCGAACCACTATAAATCTCTATGTTGATTGCTTAATTATTATTTTTATTCTTGATTGCCATTGATTGCTTATTTTTCGTTCATTAATTACACCTGTTTGTATACTTGACTGTTGATCTTGCACAAAACTGATTTGTACATCATCAGTTTGGCGCCGTCTGTGGGAACCGACAAAGTTTCTACTACCTTTCAACCTTCTTGCAATCCATGGCAATCAAGACCCGAGCAAGGTCTCATCAACCGGGAGACAACAACCCTGCGCACTAGGAAGAGGCTCCACCTCCCCTCGCACCTTCAGAACCCTCTGCCACGGTGCCTCCCACCATTAGACAACAGCAGCAGCTTCTACAGACTATGCAACTGCTGGTGAAACAAAATCAGCAGATGATCCAGTTAATGCTCGACCAAGGGGGCATCACCCATCATCTCGCAGGGGGAGTTCCACTCCCTCCAACGGGAGAGGAGCCGCTACCTGTCTCTTCTGGGCGCCAAGTCCCTCGCCAGAATGTTCCAGGGCAACGTCAGGGAGCCCCTCGTCAAGCGATCCCTCCTCAACGCGCAGGGAGCGCACGTGTTCCCTTTTCGCACGTGCCTGCGCAGGAGGATGAAGGAGAAAGTCAATACGGAGACCACGAGAGCCAGTACCATCACCCGATCGAAGGTATCCCCAACCAGTGGGATGAGAAGATCAGGGAAGTGCAGGACCAGCTTGGTAATGCCCTCAACGCCATCAAGGCACAGGCGCCTGAAATTGTGGACTATTTGGTGAGGCGCACTGATATCCTTTTATTACTGACATTATTAATTACCCGTTGCCTTCGAAGTTCAAGATGCCCACCATCGAGATCTTCGACGGCACCAAAGACCCCCTTGACCATTTGGATACCTACAAGTCCCTCATGCAACTCCACAATGTGCCTGAAGGAGATCATGTGTAGGGCTTTCCTACCACCTTAAAAGGGTCTGCTCGCCAGTGGTTCTCCAAGCTCAGGCCTTCCTCCATCCGCTCTTTCGCGGAACTAAGTAGGTCATTCGTCTCCCACTTCATTGGGGGACGTCGCCATCAAAAACCAGTGACCCACCTGCTCACCATCAAGCAGGATAGGGAAGAAAGCCTTCATGACTACCTTGCCCGCTTCAATGAGGAGGTGCTCCAGATTGATGAGCCAGATGATAAGGTGGCTTTGGCTGCCTTTATTGCCGGTCTTCGCACCTCCAGCTTCATGTTCTCAGTCCTCAAGAAGCCGCCCTTCAGTATGCCCGAACTCCTGTCTAGGGCACAGAAGTATATGAATGCGGAGATGTCACCAAGGCCTATCGGGATGAGTCCTCTCGAGGAGGGGAAAAAAAAAGCCAGCTGGGAAGATAAAAGGGAGACCGAGAACAAGAAGAAGAAAGCCGAGAGAGTCTCTATAAAAGACCGCCTCGGACCACTGCCCCCAAGGGACCAACGACCATTCACTCCACTCAATGCCTCAGTGGAGCACATCCTACTCCAGATACAGGATGACCTTGCCATCCGTTGGCCGGGGAAGATGAGGTCTGACCCCAAACGCATAAATCCCAGTAAGTATTGTCGTTTCCACCGTGACCATGGACATGACACAGATGACTGTTTTCAGTTGAAGAAGCAGATTGAGGAACTTATCCAGCGGGGTCACCTCAGACAGTATGTGGCTGGTCGAGGACCAGCTCCACCGCACGAAGAACGAGAACGCCAACAGCCCCTTGGTGAGATTCATACCATTTTCGAAGGGTTAGGAGGAGGAGGTGACTCAAACTCCGCCAGGAAGGCGCACGCCTGTAGAGCCAGACAGGCGGAGGCTCATGACTCCCGCCCAATGAAGAACCCACAACACAGGGAGGAGGAGGTCATTACTTTCTCAGACAAAGACCTTGTAGGGTCCAGGTCCCTCATGATGACCCTTTAGTTTTGACCTTGATGGTGGCCA